TTTTATTATGGATGGATGCGCTTTATTTCACTTCTTTTGGACTGATGAACTGCAACACCCGCTGACTGCCATTAAACAGCTTGGAAGATCAAAGACAATTTTTATTATAACTCCGATTGGATTCATCTGAAAGAAGGAAGTCATATACGCCTAGGATGGCTTGAGGGTGAGTAATTCATGGGCTAATTTTCATTTTTGGGTGAACTAACCCTTTAATGTTGCTCAATATAAGAGGAAAAAAAAGAATACCCTCAATTATAAACATTTTAATGTCAGAAATAGATTTTTCTTTTTCTTTTGTTGTTGATCTCTTTCTTTTTACTTTAACATAATTTGTCTTACATATAAAAACATATGATTTGTCAGTAATCATTTGTGGTTTACATGTTTATTAGCAAGGAATTTTTTTTATTTTTTATTTTTTTTACCAAGGAATATTCAGGGTTCCCACAGTCACAAAAAATTAATTAGAGAATTAAAACTTATAGAATTAAACAAAAAAACTTTACTTTTTAAATTATATTTTATTTTTTTATTTTTATTAATGTATTTAGTTATGCTCAAATTAATCGGCTAGTAATTGCTCATTTTGAGTGCATTCAGTCAAAATGTCAAACATGTGTCTATTCGGCCTTCACTGGAAAAATAATGGAAATTCATTGGTCTTTTGTGTGGGAACCCTGTTTGCATCCTTTTTCAAACCTCAGGCATAGCATTTTAATAAATTGGTCTTAATGCTTTCATGTATAACAATCATTCATTTACATCTCAATATGTCTTGCTGAACTCATCAGGAAATGGTGTCCTAATGTAAGTTTCACATGTATCTCTTTTGTTTGTGTTATTTGTGTATTATGTTTTATTAGCTTGGTTGCGATGGATGTCAAAAGACCACAGCTAGTAGACTGCGGCAAGTAGGGCTGGGCAAAAAAATCGATTTTTCGATTAATCGTTTTTTTAAATGACGTCGATTTGATATCGATTCTCAAAAGCCGCGAATCGATCTTTTCCGAGATTTATTTCAGCACACATTTAAAACAAGATCTGATTAACGTGAATCTTATCACTAGTCTTCTCCACTAGATGTCACCCTTATTTACCTTGCGCGATGTTACAACAGAAAGCCTGTCATTCATTCAGCGCTTATCATGACCATACGCATGATTCGCAGTGCTCAGGTGAAGTGCTATAGTAATACTATAAATCTGCGGAAGAATTTGATATCACGCGTAGGTGCTATGATTTCCGCAATGAATGAATGAATGGCGGATGGCGCGGCGCACTGTTTTGTGCACACTACACATACTAAAGCGCGGATGACGCTCGCGGTGTTTTCAGCTTCTGCCGTCTCACTATATGATGATATGAACACGAATGTCATCTCCAGCTGCCTGCAGAGTCACTTCATTAGCATTTTACCGTTTCATTTGAGAAAACTACCGTCATATCACATACACAGCAGCTGCAAGTTCTTCACGGCAACCCGTCAAAATAAAAGTTTAGTTTAACGTTCTACTGTCAGAATATATTACTATTTAGCAGTCTTAAGACTCAATGCTACTACTGCTAATAAATATTAATACATCTTTATTTTTAAAGGAATAATCACATCTGTTTTCTTTTTAATTTTAACAGTAAACCTCTGTTGTGCAGCACTTTGTTTGCCAAAAAATAAAAGGGTTTAATTTTCATTTGATTAGGATAAATTAAATTAATGTTTTATGCCTTCATCTGATTACCAGAAAAATTAAGACAAAAAAAAGTATAGGTTTAAAATACAGGCATGTGGTTCTTAATTTCTTTTTATTAATTCACCATTTGTAAACTGACGTTTACTGTTAATTTTTTTAGAAATATCAATAGCATTTGTATTACAACTATATTCACTGAATGTAATCAAAAAATCGAGAATCGAATCGAATCGGGACATCTGAATCGATACCCAGCCCTAGCGGCAAGTGTATAAAAAACAATGTAAAATTCTTGTTCACATGCACCTTTAAAGTGGCACAACATGAGGAAAGTTGCTTTCTGTTTGTACCTATAAAGACAAAAAGTGCACGAATAGCATAGCTCTATAGAAATATGTCTTCGGGCAAAGTTAAAAATTGCCTTTGTGCCTATCAAATAAAAAAATAGTTCCTGGTGTATTAAAGGCTTTCAGTAGACCTCAAGAACTGAAAGTGGTCTAAGCAAGCTCTGGAATACTATATATAGTGCTCTCCATTATAATATGCTTTTGTTCACAAATAAATGAACTGATGTTTACATTCTACCTTTATGGTTATCTGGACAAAGACACATTGTTATATCGCCGTACATGCATAACTCAATAATTATTGTCCATTAATCATCTTATTTATGCACTGAAAGGAAGTGAAAATATTATGTGTACATTTATGCTTTAATTACTAAAAATGATCTGTCATGTCATTTCTTTTTCTGATTGTTTTATTATAATTTTTTTTTTCCTTTTTTTTTTTAATAATAGTATATAGTACCTACTTGGTAACTACTGTATGTGTGGTGCTTAAAGCACTTTTGTGAGCCTTTGGTGAGACTGGATATTCCCCTGTGGAATAAATTGATCAATCTTATTTAAGGGCATGAAACTGTTAAATCTCAACAAATGGACAAATGAAGTCTAAACACTCACATCAACATTTGTACACTGGCTAGATCTTTTGTTCGGTGGAACAGCAGGAATATTTCCATGGCATTCATTTTCTGGAAGATATGATGATATCTCTTTGGTGTCCTAATGCTTGCTGTTCAATGTGCGGAAATATACAGGCCCGGGTTAGTGATGTCTCAATATACGTCCATTTTTGAAAACCTGTCTTAAACTTAGGGATTAACACAAGACGACAGAATTCTGCAAATAAAAACCAACTCAAATGTCATCACATTCAGGTGGTTTCCAAATAAATAATATATTCAAATGTCAGCCATGGTTCCCTGGGTAGAATCATAGACCTGAACTGTTTTTATAGTGATTTTTCATGAAAATCGAATAAACTAAGTTTGTTGTATTGGGCATTTGTCATCGAAAAGTGAACAAACTCAAAACTGATCAATGAACACTCTGGTTTAAGCAAATCTGATGCTTACTGACCTGTATAGTGTGTGTAGTCTTTGGAGATATGTCTGTTCAACCCTGATCTAATTGTTCTCTTAAATGACCACTTTTGAATATAGACATATGAACTCAATATTTATTTGGATGATACTGGGTGTATATTTGGCAAATGTTAATGAATAAAAATCTACATTTAATACCAGCTTTTGTTGCTTGTGCTCATTTTATGGGATGTTTTACACATTCAAACTTGGGATTTTCAAAACTCACACACAGTCTAAATGAAAATATATTTACCCTCAGGCCATCCGAGATGTATACGAGTTTGTTTCTTCACCATCTTCATTAATCCATTCGGCCCCATTTCCTCAATTAACATCTTGTGAAGTGAAAAGTTGTATGTTTGTAAGAAACAAATCCAGCAAGGCGTTTTAACTTTTAGCGTTTTAGTCCATAATCTAAAATAACGCTTCCTCCAGTAAAAAGTCCATTCCTTGTTGACCTCAAACATCAAAATCCACCAAAATATATGTTTAGAACTGTTTCACTCTGTTTTCGCTTGCATATTTCTCTCCTGATTCAGACGAGATGAATTTTCACTGGAAAAAGAAATATAGCAGTTTGACATAAAAAAAACGTAATTATTCCATTTGTTTCTTACAAACACAGCTTTGTGCTTCATAAGATGTTAATTGAAAGAGTGTGGGTTATTGTGGCGTTTTTATCAGCTGATTGGACTAATAATGCTAAATTTCTCCAAATCTGTTCCAATTAAGAAAAACTGATATACATCTTGCATCGCCTGAGGGTGAGTACATTTTCATTTTTTTTCGACAGAAAATCACTGCAGCATAGCATGTAATGTCATTATTAGTTAGTGGTGTTTGGCAAGGCAGATCTCTGTAATTCAGTGTTAAATTTGGCCATTGTAATGTCTTGGTCATTATATTTAAAGGTTGACTATCATGATCAGTAATGGGCTCATCTCTATAGAGAGGGTGACTGAAAGCGGTAAACTGGTGTAGAACTCATGCCATGTCTACCGCATGCGTCAAATTGATCTGGTGGGTGTAAGATGATGTGATGAATGCACAGACACACACACAGATTCATCATTGTGTTTTGTAATGTCACATGTATGACCGATCAGTGCAGAACCGCTTGTCAGTGACTGATGTGAAGTTGAATATGTTACCGCACAGAGATCGAGATGTCTTTTGACACGTCATGTCATATTATGTCTTTGCAAGCCTACTACTGTACTTGCACTGAACTAGCTTACTATACTCTTACACTGAGATCCACCTAGCATTTTTAGAGCCTAATATCATTCCCTGTTTTGTTCACAACATAGAAAAACATAAAAATAGGCTTTATTAAAGGGGTGATTGACTGTTTTTTTTTTCTAGGCTTGATTGTGTTTATGGGGTGCAGTCTAACGTGTTAATGCTTAGGTTAAAAAAAAAAAAACGCCTTATTTTTCACATAATTTACCTTTATTCGGCACCGCTCTGTCCCTTCTCTGATAAACACACTGATCATTTCCTGCTTTTATGAAGCCCCTCCCTCAGAAATAGGCAATGGGCTCTGATTGGTTAGCTAGCCCAGTGTGTTGTGATTGGCTAAACCACCTCTAATGCGCGTCTAAACGTCCCGCCCCTCAGCTCAGCGGCATGTGCTCCGGCGGAGTTTATCTGGGTTTGTGAGGTCACGAACCCGGGAATAACT